AACTGTCTCCTTTTTTGAGACTCTCTCAAACTGTCTCCCCTTTTGAGACTCTTGCAAACTGTCTCCCCTTTTTGAGACTCTTTCAAACTGTCTCCCCTTTTTGAGACTCTTTCAAACTGTCTCCCCTTTTTGAGACTCTTTCAAACTGTCTCCCCTTTTTGAGACTCTTTCAAACTGTCTCCCCTTTTTGAGACTCTTGCAAACTGTCTCCCCTTTTTGAGACTCTTGCAAACTGTCTCCTTTTTTTGAGACTCTTTCAAACTGTCTCCCCTTTTTGAGACTCTTTCAAACTGTCTCCCCTTTTTGAGACTCTTTCAAACTGTCTCCCCTTTTTGAGACTCTTTCAAACTGTCTTTTTTTACACTCGTGCAAACTACATTTTCGACACCCTTTTTCAGACTGTACCTGTGTCTACTTTTTTATACTCGTGCCAACTTGACCTGTGTCTAAAGTTTCTTGACACTCACGCAAACTGCACCTGCCTCTACGTTTCTATTTCTAAGGAAAACGAGAGAATTTGGCATCAAATTACCTGGAAACAAAACGGACCACACCTACCTAACTTTTGGCAATATCACTTCAAATCCTTCGAAATCAGTCCCTGTTCTGGAAGTTTTTCAAAAATTTGAACACTCCAAATTGTTGAACACTGCGGTGAATGGAAATCTCCGATTGATATTGCGGAGATCAAAGGGAGTTCTATGAATTCCTCGAAAGTATCCAAACGTTTTGGAATCACGCATTTTCTTTTTCTTTTCTTTTTTTTTTTTTCAAAACATTCGATTACCCAGACTTCCCAACTCGACTAACTTCCAGATTTAGCCTCTTTGCAGCTTCTGGTTTTTTCCCATAGTTAATAAAATTGCCTTTGAAACAACGTGGACGAGAATAAAGGGAACTCAGCATGGCAGCTGAAAATGTGCTTCACTTTACTGTTTTGAAAAAAAATGGTAGGCGGGTGTACTGGGATAAGTTTTTGAGGTTTCAAGGAGAATACACTGAAGAAGAAAGACGATGTAAGTAATCAAAGTTGTCGTTTTTTTTTTTTTTCGTTAACATTTAATGGCAATTGTTACCAGAACAGACCCCGTATGTCATTTCTACAGTGATGATGTGTGCAACTATTTTACGTTTAATCTACATCATGATTTTCTTCTTAGAATTTTGTGTTTGCTACTCTTTACTCACTTTGAGACCGATTTAATAATAAGTTTTGATTTTAAACCATTTTATTGCTAGGTTTTGGTTCGGTTTGGTTTGGTTTATGGCATATCAACCTCAATGGGTTATTTAATGCCGACACTATTTTTATTGCTGGTAATGTTTTTCTTCAAAAATCTATTTCTGGGAATATTTTTCCTTGAAGAAATCTATAGCTGGTCACATTTTTTCCAAAGAATGTATAGCTGTTTGTATTGCTGGTAATATTTTCTTTTATTTCAAAGTATTTCTGGTATTAAAACCTATTTTTACACAAGTTTGGGTGTCAACTATTTCCCCATAGCTGGGACCCTAACAGGTGCTACCACCCCGGGTCAGAGTCAGGGTGAACCTGGGAACGCCAGCAATTAAGAGGTGGTTCCACGCTCCTAAAAACCTCCTGATCAGAGGCCTTGCTGTTGGATGTAGTTTATCGTCTTACCCAGGACGCGGATGTTGTTTATCGTTATACCCAGGACGAATTTTATTGCTGATCTTTTATGAATTCAAATCAAGCTTCTTCTTTTTTTTTTTATTCGACCTTTTATCTCTTCCTTTAGCTTGAAAAAAAAATCTACGTCTGTTATATTTTCTTAATCTTCATTAACATCTTTATTAGTGTCCTATATTTAAAAAAAAAATCAGGCAGTGAATGTGTGGGGATATGAAGAAGTATAAAGCTGTAAACATTTGATGGAAGGATCTAAAAGTTAGCAGAAGTATTAAAAATAAACGCTTTTTATGCACAATATAAAAGAGGGCGACAGAAGGAAAGTGATTAACTTTTTAAGAGTACAGAATGTAAATTTGTCTAGAAAAAGAATGTGGAAATTAAAATTGGCAAATACTTTCTGATTCCGTTTACATGATCCCCCATAAATTAAGAAGAATACACATAGAAACAAATTAGGCTTCATTTTTAATCAAGAAAGGAAGGCAGCTTAAAATTTTAACCGAAATGGAAGACAATGAAATAACTTTGTTATATAGGAACTGAACTTTTTTTTAAAATCATTTCATCCCAAGCAAGCCAATAAAACCATTAAGTGGCAAGGGTTCGCTGAGAGTGAAAGGATCTGAACTGAAAAAAAATGAAAGAGAACATTAAAAGAACAGAACTCTAGGAGACCGATGACAAGGATTGACGTTGCATTTCCATTTTTGAAGATCGTTAGGAAGAAAGCAAGAAACCGGAAGAAAATTCCACAAGCGAGAATTCCGAGGGAAGAAATTATTAACATAGTACTTACACTGAGTAATTTAAACAGTAAAATGATGAGACCTACCTGCCAATCCAGTACTGAAGTCCTAGGTACCGACCGAAGAAAGCCCATCAGAACAAATATGAAAATATTTACAGAAACTGTTCAGAGAAACTAGGTTACGATTGAGACGTGACATACCAGGTCAGGACCGATAACATTGCAGATTTTTTAAATTTTGTCAAAAATCTCTAGATTCATAGCAGGAACACCAAACCAGATGTAGCAGCAGTATTCGATACACAGAAATGAATGGCTGCTTCTTATAATTATTTAATAATAAACATCACACACACACGTGTGTGTGTGTGTACGAAGGTTGTTTGGTAATACTGTCACACATGTTCTTTGTATTCACATCTTCCCAAAAAATGTAGATGCTTCTGCACAATCCTTCATCACTATAATCAAATCATGTACACCCTTGTGAAAATTAATTGAAACAACTACTTTAGTTTCCTTTCTTTCGCCATTCGGTCAGTTTTAGACAACTGGGGTGTGGCAGGGTGTCATTTGCAGTGGTGTACAGTAATATGAATCTCTTTTCGGGGTGTATGATGAAATTTGTTTGCCCTTGAAACATACTGCGTCATCCGTGATTGCATCAGATTTTGATCACGCGCAGACACTATTGTCTCGACTGTCGATTAGTTGTCCTACGGTCATTGTCTGCGATGGACGTTACTCCAAAGAAGCGTACGAAAATTGTAACGCTGCACGAACACACAGGCAAACCTTACCAGTGAGCAAATCAAAGTATTATAGTCTGGGCCGGAAACTCTCCTGATTTTAATCCAATCGAGGATCTGTGGTTAATCTGCAAGGAACGACTTCCTGGAATGGATATACAAAGTACTAACATGTGCACTTGGTCATGTTTCATTGTAAGAATACGAAAAAAAAAAAAGAAAAGAATAACGGAATTATTCGTTTTGTCTCAATTAATTTTCACAAGGTGTAGGTGATCATGGGCCTCCATATTTTCCTGTATAATTTGCACAAGCGTGTATCTTGTGATGTCTGGCTGTTTATTTCTAAGAACGGAGGTATTAACCCCGTCAAATACTAAGGGAGAATGCATCATTATATATATATATATATATACATTATGAAATGGATAAAGTCCGAAAATTATTTAACGACATTTTTTATAGATACAAGTATTTTAGTAAATGCTCTGTTTATAATAAACAGTATTAAATAACATTTACCGGCCCAAATGTCCGAGAAATTTTCATAGAAAATATTCGTTCTTTGACAGGATTCGAACCTGCATCCTATACGGAAGCGTCATTTAGCTTGACGTGCCTAACCGATTCAGGCCGGTAAATGTTATTTAAAACTGTTTATTATAAACAGAGCATTTACTAAAATACTTGTATCTATAAAAAGAATGTTAAACATAAAATGTCTTTATATATGTGTGTATGCATATATATATATATATATATGTATGTATGTGTGTGTATGTATATATATGTGTGTATATATATATATATATATATATGTGTGTATATATATATATATATATATATTTATATATATATATATGTGTGTATGTGTATATATATATATATATGTGTGTGTGTGTGTATATATATATATATATATATATATATATATATATATATATGTGTGTGTGTGTGTGTATATATATATATATAAGAGAGAGATAGAGAGAGCCGGCTTTATCTCGTATCCAAGAATTTAATTTCTTTTTTTTCATCGTTTCTTTAAGGGTGATGTAGTTGATAGAGAAATTGACCAATTCTTGCATAGAAGAGCCGATGGCATTGACTCTATATTAATGTTCGTGGTGGACGAGCAATTTTTTGTCGAGTTTTTCTTTCTTGTCTTTTGACTTCTTCCTTTTCTCTATTGGTCGCTTCGAAATTTCTGCTTCCGATGGTCATGGAACATCACCAGTTTGTTGGAACTTTTGCAAGTGTTTCAATCAATTTAGGTTCAAGTCCAGTGACTTTCAGTTTTGTTTTGAGTTGCTCATTGTATCTTTTGCAGTTTTTTCCCCTAAAGTAAGCTCACTGAATAAGCTTCGTACAATCTTGAACATCAAATGGAATTACGATGTGACCAACACCAAAGTCCTGGAAAGTGTCATACAGTCAAAGCATCGAATCACCACCCATTTTGCGCAAATCTCTCTTTATCCCGATTTTTGCGGAAAACACTCTCCATTTCAATATTTTTCTTTTCTTAATCTCTCCACATTTCTTTTCGTAATAACTCTTTCGTTAACGTCTCTCCATTTCGCTAATCTCTTTCCATCTCTCTCTTGCGCAAATCTTCCTACATCTCTCTCTTTCGTTAATCTCGCTCCATCTTTCTCTTGCGCTAATCTCTTTCCATCGTTCTCTTGCACTAACCTGTGTCTCTTGCTATAATCTCGCTTCATCTTTCACTTTTCCACGAATCTCGCTTCATCTCTCTTCCACGAATCTCGCTTCATCTCTCTTCCACGAATCTCGCTTCATCTCTCTTCCACGAATCTCGCTTCATCTCTCTTCCACGAATCTCGCTTCATCTCTCTCTCTGCTGAATGTCTCTGCTGCTTCTCTCTCTCTCTCCTTTGATCTCTTCTTCTTCTCTCTCTCTCTCTCTCCTGTTGATCTCTCTCTCTTTGATCTCTTTCTCTCTCCGCTGATCTCGCTCTTCTCTCTCTCTCCCGCTGATCTCGCTTCTTCTCTCTCTCTCCCGCTGATCTCGCTTCTTCTCTCTCTCTCTCTCCCGCTGATCTCGCTTCTTCTCTCTCTCTCTCCCGCTGATCTCGCTTCTTCTCTCTCTCTCCCGTTGATCTCGCTTCTTCTCTTTCTCTCTCCCGTTGATCTCTCTTCTTCTCTCTCTCCCTCCCGTTGATCTCTCTTCTTCTCTTTCTCTCTTCCGCTGATCTCGCTTCTTCTCTTTCTCTCTTCCGCTAATCTCGCTTCTTCTCTCTCTCTCTCTCTCTTCCGCTAATCTCGCTTCTTCTCTCTCTCTTCCGCTAATCTCGCTTCTTCTCTCTCTTCCGCTAATCTCGCTTCTTCTCTCTCTTCCGCTAATCTCGCTTCTTCTCTCTCTTCCGCTAATCTCACTTCTTCTCTCTCTCTCTTCCGCTAATCTCGCTTCTTCTCTCTCTCTCTCTTCCGCTAATCTCGCTTCTTCTCTCTCTCTCTTCCGCTAATCTCGCTTCTTCTCTGTCTGTCTCTGTTCCTCTAATCTCGCTTCTCTGTCTCTCTATGTTCCGCTAATCTCTCTTCTCTCTCTGTTCCGCTAATCTCTCTCTCTTACGCTAATCTCTTTCTATATCTATATTCCACTAATCTCTCTCTCTCTCTCATTTTGTTGTTTTCGACCTTTCGTTCCTCATCAGTTTTTTCAATTTTCGTTTGATTTTTCTTTTTCTTTTTTTCTATCATTCTCTCCCCTCTCCGCTTTTTAACTGCATGTCTTCTCTATTTTTACGACATTCTATTTTGTTATTCTCCTTCCTTCTCTTATATTCCATTTGGATTTTCCTTCTCTCGCCGCCTCACTCCTCCTCACGTCAATCTCTTTCTCCTTCCAAAGCATTTACGACAGGCTATGTTTCCATTTGAAAGAGAAAATACAACGTAACTAATTAAAATCAAATCTCATGTAAAAGAAACAAGTGGAAGCAAAGTCATGAAAATGGTACTAAAATAAAATGACTGGTCTACTGAACACTGTTGGCAAATTATTCTTTGTTCAATTGGATTCCATGAAATAACAATATCCTCACATATAAAGTCCCTCCACCTGACCAGCCTATTCTCCACAAATACTGCTGTCACCTATTCGAAGTATTCGTCTTCTTTTTACAGATTTTTCTTCATTTTTCTGTCTTATATGCGCAAACCAGTGATCATATCGTTCTTTCTGTGCTGCTAAAATTGCAGTTCAAAGACAATGCAACATGGATGACAGGGTTGACTAATAATAATAACAAAAATAATAAAAAAAAGAGAAAACAACCACAGGTTAATAACCCTCTCAAATTGGGTACAGTGTGAATGACAGTTATCTGTCTTGGATCAGGGAACTCTTCATGCTGAGGAGGCACATAAATTTAACCAGCTGTCTTGCTGTCCTTTGGAAAAAAAAACTTGCAGACGACTCGCTGGATGTGCTCAGGACGCAGGGTGTAAAAAGAAACACTGAGATATGGTGGTAGTGAAAAACAGGACTTTTGTTTCTTTTGCTTTTTCTTTAACAGTACTATTTTGTGACAGTCTGATGGGCATTATCCTTTTTACAATAGCAAATAAACTAAAAAAAAAATAGAGGAAGAAAAGTATAAGCTGGGGAACAGATATTGGGTGGATGAGAGAATCGAGCCTGCTTTTCCTTATGGACGAAGTTTTATTTTAGTGTATTTTTTATTAAAAAAAATAGAAAAGCGGTGAAGGCGAACAATGATGGGGAGGAGCTTACAGAGATTAGCAAGGGTGGGCTGTGAAAAAGAAAACAGACAACTTAAAAAAAAAAAAAAAAAAGACTGATTTGGTTGCTCAGTTGGATACAAGTTTGTCAGCCATTTTTCAACCCGGTTAATCTTTGTCTGAATTTCAAATACGAGTGGTGTTACTCTTATACACAAAATTTTCGGCCAGCTTTCATATTTATTTTTTTAAATTTTTTGTAAAGTTGAAGATGCTGTAATCTCTGGCGTTCTTTCTAAATTTCTGAGACGAGTTGGTACTATATATATATATATATATATATATATATATATATATATATAACCTTTCGTTCCTCATCAGTTTTCTCAATTTTCGTTTGATTTTCCCTTTCTTTACTATCTTTCTCTCCCCTCTCCGCTTTTTAACTGCATGTCTTCTTCTCTATTTTTACGACATTCTATTTTGTTATTCTCCTTCCTTCTCTTACATTCCATCGGAACAAATTGAGTATAATTGCACTGTCTGTAACATTTAATTTAAAAGAAGGCTCAATACAGAAAAGTGATAAATATTGTTTGTTTTAGGATATTTAAGACAAAATCATGTCAAAAATCGCTACACAATTACAAGTATGTATCAATAATACAAATGTGTCTCCTCAGGCAGTGGTAAACTACTGGGGAGTGAATCATTATTTATAATATTATGAAATAATCGTTAGCCAGACACCTAAACACTCTGAAATGTTAGTATTGGGGCTTGCGGTCCGAATGTCAAGCAGTACAACATGCCATTTCCAAATTTCTGGCGGAATGAATTGCATCAGGGTGTTCTTTTTCTCATACGCGGTGCCCAACAGAACCTACTATTCTATGCGGTTGACACAATCAAAAATAATCACCGCGCATGCGCGAAATTAAAAATATAAAATGGCGACAATTTACCCATTACCATATATATATATATATATATATATATATAGAGAGAGAGAGAGAGAGAGTAATGGATAGTGGTTCGGATTTAGGGACCGGCGAGTCGAGTTCGAATTCCAATCGAATCTATTACACTCGCATACGTGCTAATACCTTCTTCTCCCCAGCTATGGGTAAATAGCAAGACAAAACGGGTTCTGTAGCCTTGATGACAGCTGGTCTACCGCAGAAAGAAATGGCAACCTACTGCGGGAAAAATCTGCCTCGTCAGTCATGTATCGAAAAATACATGATCGCCTAAGCGTGTATGACGCATGGCATATAACTAACTGATATATATATATATATATATATATATATATATATATATATAAAATTTTGTGTAGGACTGATAGTTTCTTACGCGCTAATGCGCGCATTCATCAGAGAGATGATATATTAATTCTATGTTGTATGTATAAGTGTGTGTTATTTTCTCATTTCGTTCATCTCTTTTACCACAATTATGGGTTAAATTGGAGGAAATGTATTTGGAAAAAAGAGGCTCCTTGCTTTGAACGTCTATTGGGATACAAGCTCTCCCCAGATCTCTAGTAGAACTCATATATCTGATCTAACTTGCTGGAAAAAAAGGTCTGTTCATCGGACCGCTCCAGTTAGTATCTGACTCTTCTTGATCTACTATAACTTTACAAGACCAGAAATGGAATACAACTGCTATATCTGGGCTGGAGCTGCCCGGTTCTTGATTTGCCTCTGTTGACAGTTCAAAAGCGTCTACGCGGCCTTGTAGGTGATGAATTATTTTCCACTTTGCAACCTCTTCCTCACAGATGAAGCGTCCCAAGTCTCTCACTGCTTTTATCAATTTTTCCATCTCTGACTAGCTACATTCCTAAGTCTCACCACGTCTGAGCTTTTCAACTGGAGACCCGTACACTGGGGTAAACAACCCCCTTCTCTTTGTATTCTATTAGTAAGAAATGCTGCTTTGTAGAACAAACACCCGTCAGGTTGTTTTCCCAGTCGCTAAAATCTTGACCACTTCAAGTCTAGGGTTAACCGTTGTCTTTCCTGTATAACTTCTTGCCGTCTCTTACGCGAATACACCACACATGGACACTTCGACGTGGTGTAATGGTTAGCAAGCTTGTCTCACTAGATCAGTTACGAGTGAGTAGTGAGTTCGATCTTCACTGGATGCTTCATACTTTTGGCCGTGTGCCACAACTAAGCTACGCTTAGTAAATCACCATATATTAAACCTCTACCTTTTATAAAAAAGCCGGAAAAAATCAATCACTCATTTTTCAAACCGTTTTCATTGCTTCTGATCTTCTCAGTTTGTTCAGTGTGTCTCTTCACGTTAACCCCTGACCAAATCGTTCCGTATTCACAATCGTTTATCGGATCCTTTATTCAATTCGAGCATTGATCTGTATTGGAATCACAGTGGCTTAATTTCAAATTTACTAAATCGTCGGACCCACACAATCACAGCTCTCGTCTTGTTGACTCATATAACACAATCAATTTTTTCAAATCTCGAAGTTATTCGCCATCATTTTTGCTAGGGTTTTTCTGTGCTAAGCTCTTCGTTTCGAAATTGGACACGTTTTTGTGGACATTAATTAAAATAATATTTTTTTATTATTATCGAAATTATATCGATCTATTGTATTTTGCAATAACGATTGAAGTTGCGATTAGCAATGTTTACCTCAGCTGACCACCTGTTATCCGGTATATTTGCATTAAAACTTCTGCTGCGGAAGAGGATATAATCCTCTCAAACTGCCATTACCTTTAACTGTAGAAAGCGGATTTATTCGACGGCTTTGGAAAAACACTACTAATGCAGCGAGAAGCGGATTTTTTAATTTTTGGTAGATAATTAACATCATTACGGGAATGATCAAGAAATTTAATTACGCAGTGTAAGGATTAACTCCTTCCCCGACATTGACGAGTTTCCGACTCGTCCAAAAAAAATAATACGTCGATCTTGATTCTTTTTATGCCCTTCTGAGATTGAAACCAGTCCAATACTCAGCTCACACGTCTAGTAGATGTGTTAGCCACTGCTCGAGTACTTCAAGGCGTTTCAGTTTCTCAGTTACTATATTAAAAACAAATATTAGGTTGGTGCAAAAATAATGACGTAATAATGTCATTTTTAACGTCAAAAACGACATTATTACGTCATTATTTTTGCACCAACCTAATACGTCATTTTTCCCCGCCTAAAATAATAATACTGATTTATTTTTTTCGAAAAATAATTAACAGCGGATATTTAAGAAAGTTTTAATTAATATTGAATTTTAATTTGTCTAATTAATAATAGATCTTACAGGGTGGGGGTTATTGTGTTAGAAATAGGGAGAAAAGCGTCTTTTTGAAAAGTTTTTGGTGAACATTCACATTTTAAGTTGAATTCTTCGTCGACTTTTCCCGCAGCCATTGTAAGGTTACCAAAATATTTATGCAGGTTTCTAAATAGATTTTATACCAATTAGATAGTTATTATAAAATCTAATCAGGTGCTGTAAACTTATGCGTGCGTTTTAGGTAATGGATAATGGCCCAGATTCTTCCATCAAAAAGCTGTTCCAATTCCAGTTGGGTTCGTTACGTTCACTTATGCCCAAATACTTTGGCGAAAGGTATGAATCTTCCTCTTCATACCACCAGCTATGTATTAATTAGTAAGACTTGTGTTGTAACCTAGAGAAGGTTACTGAATTGAATAAATCAAATAAAAATGTAATTAAAAATAATAAACCATCTTATATTTGTATTATTATATATAATATAA